GGGGGGGGGGGGGGGGGGGGGGGGTACTGCGGCAAGTTTTATGCTATTGCTTTGCTCCTTCCTTTCCTCCGTTGCGTGCTCTGCATGCTAGCTACTCTTTATCATGGTTTTTTGTCCTTGGCGGGAGCTTGCCCCAAACAAACGCGGTCGGTAGAGTACGGCTGACGGAAAACAATGAACTGCGAACCTACCCTCGGAACCACGCACCTTCCAACCCTTCCTGATTACTTCGTCTCCCCTGCACATGTATGTACGTGCGCCATCTCCCATCAGATAATATCTTATCGCCAAATCCCGCCGCCCGCGGGCCATGTTACGGTTCAGCTTGACTCACCCCTAGGCGGGCACTGTTTCGTTTTGTTGCCCACTGTTTCGGTTCCTTTCGGGATAACAACAACACCGCTGCTGCGGCCAAAAAACACAAACGACGGAACAGGAACGAACAAGCTGCAATGCCTCCAGCGGAGAAGGAGAAATCGTTGTTCGAGAGCTACATGGCGTCGAGGTTAGTTGCCTCGTGGTCGCCGCATGTGTATGGAGATAAATGCTGGTGGTCCGGCGGTAAATGAACTACAAGCGGCTCTTGCCTTGTTGTCGTTTGTTTCGCGTTTTTCTTGTTAACGTTCTTTTCATGTTAAGGTAGTCGAAGTGTTTTATGTGGGTGTGCCTGTATATGTCTGTCCCAGCTTGTGTTGGGGCGCTTGACTCCATGATGGCCTTTGTGCGCGCGCGCGCGCGGCGATCGCTTTGCTCTGTTGACGGCTTGTTTCTGTACGAAATCTTGGTCGGCCGCGCATGTTTGTTTTTGCTTGCATGCATTTACTCGCCTTGCGTTGCCTTATGCTCTCCTTGCTGCGTTGCTCAGCGCCGCGGAGAAGAGCATCGTCGATTGATGATGATGACGATCTGCAGCACCCGGCAAGAGGCCGGTTCGGTTCCATTCGTTCAAAGAAGCCGGTTCGTTGATTCAGGTCTCCAGGAAGGAAGCGTGCTCTTTTTATGTAGGAACTCGCAGCCAGGGCGACGGGCACGCCACCGAGATCGCATCAACAACACACCACCCGGCCGATCGTCGTTGTTGATCCCACCACGTGTAGCGTTAGCGCCACGGGACCGCGGCCCTACTGACCTCCTTGTATCGCTGGCTTCGTAACGCGCCTACCCACCATTCTGTCCGGCCAAACGGCAACAACTGCGCCTGGTTAGCGGCGTTTTCGGTTGGGTTTTAAAGTGCTGTTGTTGTTTTCGAAACCTTCTTTTTCATTATCGTTGTGAAGTTCAACTTGTCTTTCATTTTCCCTTTTTTTTTTTCATGTCACCGGTGTTGCTTGGTTTCGTCAAGGGGCGGTGGTGCGGCTCCGGCCCCGGCTCCCGCGGCGCCTTCCGCTCCTACCCCTGCTGCGTCGTCGTCGCCGTCGACCGAGCTCTCCCCGTATGAAGAGTACATGCAGTCGAGGTGAGGAGGACAGCCCCCTAGAGGATGGAATACTACAGGAAGAGCGCGTCACACCACTTATGAAACTCTTATTTTTGGGCGAGGCTAAGTACATGTATTTTCTTTTTTTTTCACTGTGCAGAACCCCCACCGCGACTACAATACTTCGAAATACTTCGTAGGTTTCAGTGCGACTATTATATTGGTTTTGATATAGGATTCTGGACTGAACACCTGTTCTCATGACCAAGTTCTTAAATTTTGGATTATGGTGCGGAAAGAACTCGACGCTGTCTTCTACCGAAAACCCCCGCCGATGCGTTCATTAAAACCACCAGTTTCACGTTCCTAATGCCACTATTTTTTTAGCAATCGAGCTTTGAAAATCAGCCTAGGAGATATGCCATCTCTCCGCCAATACTGAACCGGAAGTGTCTGCGCGTCGTTATCGTTGCCTGCGGGGGTGCTGATTGTGGCTGGGTTTTATGCCCAAGTTTTTCACCAAATTCTTACGTGGTGGGGGCGCGTTCTGTAGACTGACCCCTTTGACTGGTTGGACGGGCTCGATCATCCTTGGTCCTTGACGGAGTACATCTCATCTCGGACATGCCAAGGCTTTCAGACGTTCACCCGCTTTCAAAGATGCAAGGAAGGCCAGAAAGACGCGTATGCGGATAGTTAAATCTCGATTGTAGATCGGGATCTGATTCCGATGCCGCCCGCTTCGGCGCCGGCATTTTGACCTTTTGACCTTTTGAAACCGGGCCATAGGGGATCGATCTGACGTAAATGAGCCATAATTATCAGACACTGCACTGTAGTGTAGTACCTGTCGTGGTGGTGCCGCAGTAGTTGCCCTCGGCACCCTTTTTTTTTGTTTGCCGTTTCATCGCCGGCGCAGTCCGGTTAATGTTGCTGGCTCACTGGCCCCCATGCTCTCGGCATGCCAGAACAACACACAACGGGGGGGGCATGTTGACGGCTTCACTCTCGTTTTTGCAACGTGTGCTCAACTTTCGGTTCGGCTCGCCCTGCAGGCCGTGCGTTGCCTTAACTCTCGCTACGTAGACGTAGCAACCTGTTGTGCTTGATGTCGATCGTCTGCTTAGACTCATATCGTGGTGCTGGTGTTATTTTGTTCTCGGCCGGGGCGGGGCGGGGCGGGGCGTGGGG